CTTATTTAAGAACATAAAGAGTTTTCAGGTCAATATTTTGTTTTTGTGGCATCTTACACTGTTGGACACCCTGGCGTAATATATTCTGTGTTCAGAAAATATTAGAAATTTTATTTTTAATATGACAAAAAAAAATGGAGAAAGGAAGAAGATCGGTAGGCGTGGTATTCAAAACGGGTTTATTAATTAATACGCAAACAGGGGCATTTGTTGGTGCGTGTGAGATTTGCTGGTTGGTATTTGTCACGATTTCTTTAACACATCTCTCACTTACTCAACAACTCAAGTGCAGAATAAAGAAACGGAGAATGAGGGGGGGAGGAAGAAATGCTAGAATATAAACACTAAACACGTTTCAATACTGGCCAAACATTTTTATGCCACTCCCACTCTCAGGTGCTGCAGTCACGTTGTCCAGTTTTAAAGGCGAGTGTATGAAGAAAGGAAAAAATCGTTAGAAACAAAGAAAAGAGTACTGAACTATATAGAAATAAATGCAATCTCTTCACAGACGAAGAGACCTGAAGCAACAGAAATGCGTTTCTGAAGAAGGATAATAAGAATGCCATGGACGGAACATGTAAGCAACGACGAAGTTTTGGAGAAAATGGAAACCAAAAAGACACTTATACTTAATATCAGAAAGATCCAGTTGAAATTTCTAAGTCACATAATGAGGAAAGAGGGCTTGGAAATGTGATGCTCACAGTACAGAGTGTTGCGTTCTGTGTCGTCTCGGAATCCGCAACGCTATTAATAAAAACGGTATCAACGAAAAGGGTCATTTACTTTTGTTCTTCGTTTTATTTAAACCTGGCAGCTTGGATTCTAAGAGGCAGTAGCAGGACTGACATGACAGGAAGAACATGTCGCATGTTGGCTCAGCATCACTCCGTGGGTGGTATTAGCCAGTCGCAAAGCTGGGTGTGAAAGGCATATCAACGTTTCAAAATCTGTTGAATTCACACCGTTTTGGACTTATATTCAAAACCATGACAAAGGTAATCACTGTCAAAAGGCCTCGCCCACGAGTCACTCCAGACAATCGCTGACCATTTTGGCCCTGGCCTCCGTATTCTGTAAGAAGTAACTGTAAGTAACTAGTTGCCAATCTGTGCTTAAATTCATAAAGTTTAGGTACCATATCGAAGAAATCATCCGAACAATTACAATTAAAGTTTTCATAGAAATGTCAGAGGGTAGCGACTTACGGCGGTTGGAAAGTAACTGGATCTGAAACAGGTCATGGCTATATTCTATTTCCAGGGTAGCAAACTGGATACTATTTCCAGGGTAGCATACTGGATACTATGTACAGATATTCACTACATATATTCTTAAACACCCTCTTCAGATCGAGTCTTTCGTATGGATGCCATGTATGACAGCAAAATCGTTCAAAAATATCTAAACTGTCAATTGCAAATACGTTCTCAGATCAATGATTAAAAATGGCTTTGAAGGATGAAGACTGTCGTTCTTCGAATCTCACAGGCTGGCGCTACAGAATCCCAAATGAAACCACATCGCTTGAAGAGTTTCATCAACAACTAAAATGGATAGTACATGCAATCTGAAGAGAAAATAATGATATAATGAAAAAGTTGCTGTTTCACACTATTTTTACACATCAGCTTAGGAAGGTAGCATCCCTCATTACAGGAAAGAGTGATAACAGTTAGTGGTCTTGAGAATCCTATTTTCCGGAAAAATTATTTTCAGAGAAATATTTTATAATTTTCAACCGACGATAGTACTGGCTGCTCAACCAATGAATGTTTCCTTATAAGGAAACGGCAAATATTACCATTACCATTTATAGTGGAATGCCTAATAAGCCACCTTGTCACAATAATAGGTAACTCCCTAACACGTACAATTACTTCTTCTATGTGCCACGTCCCTTCAGGCCATGGGTGATCATGGCTCTCCAAAACTTCCTATCTTTTGTGACCTTTAGAAATGTTTTCTACTTTTGTTAAAGCTCCTGTCCATGTTCCACAATCCGTTCAGATAAGCACGTTGTGTAGGTGGCTCGTTGCCTTCCTCTATACATCTTATCCTCATTATGACCTGTGAGCATTAAGTTTGCCAATCCTTCCTTCCTCATTACGTACCCAAAGAATTTCAGCTGTCTCTTCCTGATTCTTATCATGATCGTTCTTCTTCTTTTTTTCCATACGGTTACAAATACCACATCACTCAATTTCTGGAAAAAATCAAATTGAATAAAGGGTTTAGTCAACATTTCCCAGGAAGTTACCAATTATATCTACTTTAAGAAGATTGGAATGTACAACAATCGAAAAGTTTTGACTGTAACAACCATGATAGGTTCGAATACATAAATATAGGGTGACCCCAAAAATCCGGGAAGTTTTTAACAATACAGTGAATTTCATCTTGAATTCTCTGTTTTAACTCATCCAGAGTTCTTGGTTGAGTTGTGTAAACACAGTATCCCAGCTGAGATGTTGCAGCAGTCAATGAGGAATCTCAACAGCAGATTTCAAGATTTCGTACAGGAGGACGCCATCTACAGGACGTAATTTTAAAAAAAATAAAAATTCCATCATTGTTTCTAAAATGGCATGTTTTAAGGTTTCAATTACTATGAATAAAATATTTTTCTTCCATCACTCTTGGTTTTATTGGATTGTTAAACAGTTCCCGTTTTTTTTGGGGGGTCACCCTTTACATAATACTTAGAATACTAATAAAATATCTAATATCCAACTATTTGAGCCTAATCTTCCCAATTAAATAATAAAAATAAGCAAAATGATTTTATTACGGTCACATCTAGCTATTTCAATAATATAACATTGAAATCTAGCTGCCAATCTAGTAGTAAGCTTAAACTCTTGCGGACGAGTTTATCAAGGAGGAGAGCTCATCAGAACAATTACCATGAAAATATTCAGAGAAAAATCAGAAGAAAACAACGTCACAGTGGTGAAAAAGTGACTGATCAGATCAGGACCGATAACACTACAGACCCTTCTTTAGATTTTGTCCAAGAATCTTAAGATATATTACAAGAGCTCCAGGCCAGATATGGCAACAATATTCAATGCACGGACGAATGGTAGAATTATAAATGTGCAAGATGGATTCTGGTAAGAAAAATTGTCTACCACGACACAGTGAAGCAACTTTCCGAGCAGCAGACCTAGCAATTGATTCAATATACTGCACTTCATGTCAGTGGAAAGCGTGAGACCAAGAAGGCGCAATGAATTGCTAGCCTGGAGGTTAGCATTATTCATGCTGATGGAAAGCAAAATATTATTATAAGAAAATAAATCAGGTGTTACATACACAAGGACGCTGTGTCTTGCTCTAAAACTTTCCTGGAGACAGAACACTACGGTCATCTACCTTTTGTGAAATTGAGTTATGTCTTCCACTTTACGAAAATTGAGTATTTCTACCTTTAGATATATAGTGAACAGAATGAGATAGAGAGAGATATATATATATAGAGAGAGAGGGAGAGAGAGTGAACAGAATGAGATAAATAGAAGGTGAACAGAATGAGATAGATAGATAGATAGATAGAGAGAGAGAGAGAGAGAGAGAGAGAGAGTGAACAGAATGAGATAGAAGGTGAATAGAATGAGACAGGCAGATAGATAGAGAGAGAGGGGGGGAGTGAACAGAATGAGATAGAAGGTGAACAGAATGAGATAGATAGATAGATAGATAGATAGATAGATAGATAGATAGATAGATAGATAGATAGATAGATAGTGAAGAGAATGGGTATTAAATATCGAGCCAAACAGCAAATGAATTTGATGAACTGACAATGAAGTCCTACATTAGTTAAAAGATTTATTTCTTCATCTTTATTCATACACAGTATATATTTCAATCAATCCCAATCACTTAAACGAAACAGTTACTGACCTTCCTCGTGTGCTTCTTACCAAGAAAAACTATACACACGGTAAAATACTGTAGATTTATTTTATTCAAAACTAGCTTAAAAACAGAACTAGCTGCTGCGTAGGGCTAATTATGCCTCCGGCCTAAAAACTAAAGGGACCTCTGATTCAGCTTTGAATAACAGCAATGATAATTTTGAAGAAATAATTTTGAATTCTACAATTCGTTCCACGGAACTTCAAAACCTCACTTTAACTCTGACTCGAGCTATAAGTCCATTTCCGGCTAAAAGAGCGATTTGGGTCGAAATTTTAATTCAGGCCGAAAAATGAGTTCTTCAAATCACAAACTATGCGGAACTTCAAAGCCTCACGTTAAGAAATCTCTCACTTTAACTCTGATTCCTTGACATTTTGACGATATAAAATTGATTTCTTCAATTCACATGGTTTTGAAAATATTTTAAACTGTATTTAAAGTAAAAACATTTCAATTTACAAAATATTTGTGTTACTTTTAACTCAATATAAATTAAAAACGTTTAAAATCGCTGTCTTTTTCAGTTATTTTAAAACTTGAATTTTTAACTGTTCCCTCCTCATCTGGACACAAATCCCAATGCTTGATTTTCAAGCACCAGATGAAAGACAGATTTTCAATCCCGGGTTCATCCTGATCCCAATTAGGTATAAAATATGTTCATGTAGAGCAAGGGTAGCCCAAATGACGGACAGAATTTGCAGTTTATTTTCAAAATAACCAGGAAAACAAAGTACTTGTGACTTATTCTTTTATGTGCCGATTCCCTTCAGGACGTAGACGATCATTGCTCCCTACAACATCCTAACCCATGTGACCCATAGCAGCGTTTATTCCTTTACTAAACTTCTCGCTCCAGTTCCGCCATTTATTCGTACAAGCTTGTAGGGTAGGTGGCCCACTGCCTTCTCCTATCTCACTTGCCTTCGATATGCCCAGTGAGAGTTAAGTTTACAAAGTATGCTTCCTTCTGTAGAACTACATTTCTGTTGCCTCCAGTTTTGTCTTCATCTGTGGTGAGATAATCCAGCATTCATTGCCATATCAGTGGATTGATATCACATAGCAATTCAACAGATAGATAGATAGATAGATAGATAGATAGATAGATAGATAGATAGATAGAGAGAGAGAGAGAGAGAGATAGAGAGATAGCGAGATAGATAGAGAAGTGAAAAAAGTGAATTAAAATTTAAAAAAATGGAAAGAAACATAGTCTCTCGTCTCAGTTTCTTCTTGTCAACTGTCCTTTCAAAGACGCTGTTAAGAATGCCTTTCACCAAAACGCTGGTGTCAATCTCGATCGTTCTTTTATCCTGATAAATCAACCTCAACTGGTTAATGCGAGGCTCAGGTTTGAATCGCACCGAAATCAACTCCGCATACGTCTACAAACAATGGACGATGCCATGCGAATTCCTTTCGCTGCGGGCGAACGATGACTTTTTTCGGTAACTCCTTCGTTACATTCCCTCATGATGTCTTCATCACAAAATGCGCAGCTGAGTGCGCGCCTCTTTATCCGGCCGTCGCTATGGAGTGAAGGATCTCTGGCTTTTTCTTGGGACGAGCTACATCCAAGACAGTCGTAGGGCGGTTCAACATCATCGCCAGCAGTTTCCGGGTCACTGATGTCAGAGGGATCGTCTAGTAATACTGCCTTTTCAACAGTTCGCTTTCTTCTAACGAGTCACTGGTATTCTTGAATGGCATACGCGCTCCCGAACAAGAGCGCAAGTTTTTTACGTGATGAGGGGTTCCATCAACAAACATCGAGTGGGGACTGTTGATTCTGGGTACCCGGTCCATCCTAGATGTATTTGTACACCTGCTGTGCGGGATTCAGTATCACCTACACGAAAGTGTTCCTGGTCAGCTTGCGGTTCGGGGGTGGCCACTAGATCAATACCCTGTATCCGGATATTGTAGGTGTGTGTGTAACGTTGGCCGGCGCTGTGTATGTTGAGACGCTGTCCTTTGGCGTGATGTTATACCAGTACTTCTGTGGCTTCTCTCTACTATACCGTTTCCTGCCGAACATGTATACCCGAGTCACACAGGAACTGCCGAAATTGTTGACCTGTAATTGGAGTGCCGTTGTCAGTCAGGATATCAACTGGTAGGCCACGATCATAAAATATGGACTCCAGCTGGCGTACGACACTTACCGAGTCTTACCGACTCAGGGGACGCCAGACGGCAAATCGCGAGGGACTGCAATCAATAAGTGTCAGATAGTGGCCACTGCCGTGATGAGTGATGTCCACTGCTCACCTACTCCAGTTGTCTTTCACCAGTGTAGGTGCAGGATCAATTGACTGACACGTCTCTATACGTTCAGTTAAACTTGAAACTTCGAATACTAAAATAGCTAGTGGGCGTGCCATTGGCTGGATATCAAATAACCACCATTCACGGCGAGGAGGTTGTCCTTATTTGTAGCCACAGAACACAGTATTCACTTTTTTTTTATTAAAAATATACACTATTTTTTGATTTAAAATGTCCGAGATTTTATATTTTTAAATATTTAATTTTTTTAGAATTGAAAAGGACGAGATTTTTAAATTCAAAACATACATGTCTAAGAATAATGGTAATTTTTTTATTGCATAACTTTCTAACCAAGATGTGACAAATTATCTTCACCAACCAAAGATATGAGAATTAGATCGATATCCTTTTATTTTTGTTAAATTTTATTTTTTATATTTTTGTTTTTTATTTATTTTATTTCCTATTTTCTATTTTATTTATTTTTATATTATTTATTTATTTTTGTTTATTTTATTTTATTTTGTATTTTATTTGTTTATTTTTTATTCATTTTATTTTTATATCTTTTATATTTGTTATTTGTTTATTTTGTTTTTACTTTTATATTTTATTTGTGTACATGTTTATTTTATTTGTAGTTTTTATTTTTTATTTATTTTATATTTTCATTTTTTTATTTATTTATTTATTTTACTGTATTTATTTTTATATTTTTTATTTGTTTATTTTTTTTTATTTTATCTTTATTCATTTTTACTCCAGCTGTTTTCAGACTTTTCAGTTCGCGAGCCACATCATATATTTCCCATTTTTTCGCGGGTTCAATGTATTGGCGGCCCTGAAATTTATCGAGACAATCTCTGGTTTACAATCATATTTACAATGGTCATCGCCATTTCTATAACTTTGTCATTTTCCTGTTTCATTCAACACAAAAGTTCCATAGTCTCAGGTGAGTAACAGTAGCCAGTTTCGTAAGCGTAACTTCATGTGTGCTAGATTGTATATGATTTTAATCAACAAATATTCTCCAATTAATGAATTAAGGATTGAATTGGTATCTTTTTTTTCTCTCAGCGGTCTGAAAACTTTTGAAATCTGCCATTGTATTTTACACATTTTCACGGGCCAAAGAGAAAGAAATCATTTTATATAAAGGAAGGAATTTGCATCTAGTTTTTGGCATGATAATAAACGAAATGTGACAATTCCGAAGAAATTTGTGAAGAATTAAATATGGCAGGTGGACCTTAGCCTTCTGATCAAGATTTACTAAAAAAGAGTCGATGTTATTTACCAGACAGAGGGTAGTTCGCACTTTTTATATTTATTCATTAAAGTTCAATACAATACAACAATACAAGACCCAAGAGCCACTCAAGCTAGGGGTTAACTGAACGAGATGTGTAATATGTACGAAAGAGGAAAACGTAGAAAATAAAGATTACGAGGATATGGCGGGTAGATGACTATTGGCCGAAAGACTTCCAGAGGTTAATATTTTAGTGTTGTTCGAGGAAGCACCTACGCGTGGTCTGTTCCACAAAGTAGCGGTTCTTGGGAAGAAGGTTTCGGAATGGAAAGTCCTTCTTAGCAAAAAGAAAATACGAAGGAAAGTAAGCTGATTCGATTCTGTGGATGTAACAAGACTGAGATTGGCTATAAGATCTGAGCTGACACAAAAGAATGAAGCTCGAATGAACATTTGCCATGGGGGATAGCGATAGAACAGCGATAGGCTTATAACGGCGAGTCCGTGGGCAAAAGAGCTCTAGCGTGAAATACCGTGTAGATGCTTTTGAACTCTGTTCAGGCTCACTCTTGTAACGATAAAGTATGGCGATAAGGAACGTTTTTCCACTTGTGGTCTAGAGTAGCAATAAACGTTCATAGTACGGAGACTCTTTGAAAATGCAACCGTTCATTGCGACGAGAGCAAGCTCAGTATGAAATCGGTGATGATGAAATCTTACTAGCTTGGTCTTACGTTCGCAACAACAAATTGTTAATAATTACATTATTAAGGCAGTTTGCTGCGCTATTCCATAGTAAAGGACTTAAATATTCAATTTAAATACAAACACAGTCGTTTACTACCATGGGGCGCGGCTAAGTTGATAGGCTGTGAGAACTGGATAATTTTTGTCGTTGGTCCACATATCCTTGTATAGGCATCCCACGTGAAACCGACCGTGTATAGCATCCTACTTCCATGGGTCAGGGTTAAGGGGATCCGGTCGCACAGCTTTTACGAATTCCCATGACTCTCTGTTACCATCCAATTCTATTGTTCATCCTATTCGGCAGGTCAGAGGGATTGCAGTTTATGTCGTCACAGATCTGCTTGATGTAGGTCCTGGCTTGTCGTCCTCTGCTAGCTTTTCCTTGTGTAGGTTCCCCACAAAAGAAGTTCACTAACAATTTCTTCTTTAGCTCTCCAGCAATACCTGGCAAATCTGACCCTATAATCAGGTGTGGACAAATTAGATAAATTTGGGGATAAGTTAAATAGGCATGAGAATGACCGTGGAGACTGTAAAGTTTTTCACGTTGGCATATATATATATATATATATATATATATATATATATATATATATATATATATATATATATATATATATATATATACACACACACCCACACACACACACACGTCGTACGTATGGTCACTCCGGATGTGCAGTGTGGTGTGATGGATAAGAGGTTGGTATGAGAAATGAGCCGAGTTCGGATTCGTCGAGTTCGTTACTTTCACTTACGAACAAATGCCCTTGGGAAAAGTATAAATTCATCTCTATCTCTCTCTCTCTCTCTCTCACACACACACACACACACTCTCTCTCTCTCTCTCTCTCTCTCTCTCTCTCTCTCTCTCTCTCTCTCCAGCTATTGGTTGAATATCCGGGTATCCTTAATCGAATTAAAAGGAAAAGGAACTAAGAAGAAACTTGAGAAAAGTGCAACTCCAGCCTGGATATGGCTGCAATGCTCTATTTTAAGGCTAATCTGATTTTTGCAACGATGAAGTATAGTTAGGGTTGACAGATTAGAAAATTAGAAATACGGGACACTTTTAAAATCTCTCTCTTTCTCTTTCTCTCTCTCCCTTCTCTCTCTCCCTTCTTTCTCTCTCTCTCTCTCTCTCTCTCTCTCTCTATATATATATATATATATATGCCTAAACACCCAGACCAGTATATCATATAAAAAAGAGAGACATAAGTTAAAAATATAAAGCAATGATTTTAATGGGGAAAATAAAGTAAAATAATTTCAAAATTATTTAATACAAACTAAGACAAAGAAATTCTGTAAAAGTGAAATCATTTGAAAATATTTATTTAATACAAACAGATAAACAAACACGTCAGTTTTGTGTAAACTTCTACCAACTACCTCGTTACATTTGGATTATTTTCATCAATGGAATCTGAGAAAAGAATGTTTAGTTACTTATTAACCGTAAGAAGGTAGCAAAATATATATTTTTATTATTATTTAAATTTGAAAATGAACTAAACACAGTATATTTGGGGGGGTCCCTGAAAGGTCAGTACGGGACAAGGGACAAAATTATCCAATACGGGACATGCCTTCTATATAAGGAACCCTAAGTATGACAAGAAGAAAAGTACTTTCTTCAGCGGTACAAGAAGCCGGCCATTCTTCCAGCATCTTTAGCAATGAATCGTTGATTCTGGAATAAACTTGAGTCCCAATAAGCGTTCAAAGCATAGACCCTCGTTGAGATTGCAGTTGTTTATTATAACGGCGAGAAGACTCAGTGTCCGATCGGTGGTGATGAACTGTTACTAGCTTGGTTTTACGTTCACAACAGTCTGTGAAAGCAGATTGTTAATAATTGCATTATTAAGGCAGTCTGTTTGCTGAACTACTACATAGTACAGGATTTAAAGATTCAATTTAAATATCAACACAGTCGTTTACCTGAATGGCAGCATTTAAAACTGACACAACAGTCTATTTACTATCGTTTCACTCACTGTCTCGTCTCATTCCCTGATTTGACTTACATAATTATTAACCTCGCAGACTCTATTAAAAGCTCCGTTTTAGACGTTTATAATCTAATTATGGAGTATTCATTTCAATGAAATAACTTCAAAGAGAATTTCATGGTTTTTTTTAAAGTGCTGCTTATGCGAACTCTTGCAAGGCTATTTTGTAATTCTGTATCCCATTACCAATGAATACATTTGTATATTTATTAAGTTCACTTTTGTATTTTTGTAAGCCTTGTTTGCGGCTATAGCTTAGTAGTTAGAACATTGCTCTGAAGTCTGGCGACTGCATTACTTCTTCATCTTAGAGAAAAATTTATACCAAATCAGAGCAGGAACCGCTTCTTGGCGATTTAAGCTCATAGAATCATAGTTTCACAACGTTACTTATGATATATGTCCTTACGATTATTTTATTTTTTTTTTTTTTTTGGATTAGTTGATTCGTTTTCTACGGCTTATCAACCCTTTACAGGTTATTTAAAGCCAGAAATTATGTTTAGATTTTAAGACTTTTACATAGATAATAATGATTTTGACTGATACAAGTCCTACTAATTAAATCATAGTTGAAGGGAGAATAGGTGGATTGATACCTTTACGAAAGGGTATTTGCGCGTATATATAACGAACATAAATATAACGAATCTGAACTGAAATTGGATCTCGGCTCTCCGATTTCCAATTCCGAGCCGTTATCCATTACACCACCCGCACATCCAGGCTTACAGCACCTGCTATTCCCAAGCGATCGTCCATCTAGGTAACAACCAGGTTCGACTTTGCATAACTTCGTTGATTGTACGGGAACCGATGTTTAAACCTGATATGGCCGTAAGCCTGTAGTTATACTCCATCTGGGAGCAAATATTTTATAAGTATCTGAAAAATAACCGAGTATAAATATTTTTTAAATAAAAATAATTTTCTTGTTTTTTTTTATTTTGAACCTCATCGATCGATTGTCCCTCCTTGGTGCACACTGTTAGTTGAGCGACCATGTTTACACTGTAACAGCAGTAAAAAAAATGTAGCGTTCAAGCTCAAACCTCGATCACGTGACCACAACAGTACCCACTATGAGCATGCATCAGCGAAAGTCAGTGTGACAAGCCTAAAGATATGTTATAACGAAATTGCGGATAATTCTTTACTTACCTCGTATCTAGACGATGGACAATTTTTGTTTTTGTGATGCCAACGAACATTCGTTGCCGCTTTTGTAATGTTCGTTGTCGTAGAGACTTTGTAATCGCAGATACAACTATAGTACGCTGTTGATCAATGCTGGTGTCAGACGCCTTCGAATATCATTCGCACTAATCGTACTTGCTCGATAATACTCACTCGAATAGTAATCCGTATAGTGATCAGGAATAGTATAGAGAATAGCGAACCGTATAGTAATAGAGAATAGAGTAGAAGTGAAGATCCGAATAGTAATAGAGGATAGAATATGAATAGCGATCGTTAGTCGTCAGCGACTTCCTACCTTATTTATCACGTACTATGTCTATGGTAGTCTCGCTATCACACCGACTGCCACTGCAGCGCAGTACGCCTGTTGTTCAAGCTGAATGAAGACTCCATGGTCTGCATGCTGCATGGGAAGTTCAAGGTCAGTTTTTGCTGTAGCAGTATGGTACAACCTGAAGAAAAAAAACTGAACACTACGTTTTCTTAAGCTTACTGTGCCTCATGCGAGTTGTGGTGTGAACGAGGCGACATAAGGAATCCCTTGGAGTTGAGAAGTTTACCTCTCCTTGTTTTTGTTTTTTGTCTTTTTTGTCTTTTTGTTTTTTAAGCATAAGCTTAAAGTCAAGATTAGAACGGAAAGGAAAACAACTCTATTCATCGAAATTTAACGGGACGTGGGTCAATTTCACTTCTGTATCCTGTAGAAAGGAGCTGACTTGAAGTGACATAGACATAAGAATATTGGTGATTCGTCTTGAACATTGGCAAGTCAGTACGTAATAGGGTACAGTAGGTAAATCTATTTTTTTTTAAAAACCCTTAACTAGAGTATGTATGTTCATGTTGTGGATTCCGAGATGAAAAATCGGTCTCCAATAAATGACAAACGCAATTATTTAAGATAAGAAATTAAATGTATTTACACAAAATACAAAAGGTAATGATGTTAGTAAATCCAGGAACGCCGGTTAGTATTAAACAAAGATCGCTATATACAGTCTCGAAGTAAACTTCCTTAGAGTCGGGCGTGCTTGTAACTGTGACTTCTACCTCCGACTCAATCACAATGTCTATGTACTTTCCACTCCGTTCCTCTTCTCTATATTCTGACTGACTGAGGGTATTTAACGGCAGCAGGTCGAGTCCACTTATATCAAAAAGGGGTGGACCCCATAACAGTTCATCGGCCCGTTTATTTGTGTTCCCTTTTTCTTTGATTTAATCCACCCTCCCCCGTTTAGTGATAGAGATGTCAGTTATTAAGTGATGGCGAAATGCCTTTTGTAATTTCTTGAGTGTTTTCGTATTTGTTTTTGTCATTGGATGAAAGAGTGATTGTGTAAGTGTTTGTTAAAATGAATTAGTCAATCATTATCTAGTGCGGCATTATTTCCATCAAGTTAATTGGTATTTCTGCATAAATTAAGATTGGGAAGGTGAGAATAATACTGCTTTCTCGTTGGTTTCTGTAAATAGTTTTTGCTTATCAAAAAAATAAAGTACAATGATATTTTATTCAATTATATATTCACTTGTTATCAGTTAAAAAGTAAAGCAATTTGCTTTGTTATACAAGAAATAAGAAACACACTCAAACATTATTTACATTATTCGGACTATTGTCTTCATCTTTGTCGCCTTGTTTATCACAATAGTCCGAATAATTTAAATAGTGTACATAATACCTCATCTCAGAAATATAGACAGATATACTCAAACATATCGCACATCAAGATATAGCTATACATCACAGGTTCACATTCGTACTTCTCAACATAGTCACCACCTATGTGTACCTGTTCAGTAAAATCTTGGCTTTTGACGTGAAAAATTTTTCGATAAACTCTTGAATCTGGGTTTCATTAAAGAAAGTTTTCCCCATCAAAGCATTTTGCAGCAATTGAAAAAGCAATAATCAGTTGGTGCAAGGTCAGATAATATGGTGGATTTGTAACGCCGATCCTCTCGTTCGGTGTCAGTTGTAACACGATCTCTGGTCAAGACGTCCATGCGACACTGTATCCTAACCCTACTGGGCTGTCATCCACAAGACCGACCGTTGTTCATGTATAGTCCGGTATTACCGGTTAGACTTAAGTCCCCGGTTTCAAATGTCGATTCGATTCCACTCACCAGCCATGTTGTGATTATTTATCCTGGCGAGTAGTTATCGGGTCGTAGAATTCCGAAAGCTCTCCGTTGGTCTACCTGCAAGCTTGTTGGGTGAGAATTGGGTTAACAGCAAATAAATATGGCCAAGTCGAACCGATTTTAGAGGGACAAAAGTTTGTATATATATATATATATATATATATATACATCAACAATACGTATAATAATCCAATTCTCGCGACAAAAAGTTGAATGTCTCTTGTATATGAACGATGATTTACAAAACAAAAATACTTCGTGTAATTTCGCTAAAAGAGAGAGGTGGCCTAGTTTTAACCCTTTCTGGTCTGTTCTTAGCGCAACTACTACAACCTTCGATATTCCCGTTCTCAGCAGCAGTAATAGTAGTAGTAATATTAGTGGTAACAGGAGCAGCGGTACTTATATCAACAGCACATATTAGTGGGGGCTTTTTTCCAATCTCTGACGTCACTTCCTCTCTTCTTCGAGCCTCCAACTCAACTCTGCTCACTGTCTCTAACTTAACTCTACTCTCTTCCGGTTGGCTTGCCTCTTTATATAGAAACTGGTGACGTATTTGGGTTTTTTTTAGTGCGAACGTACCGACATACTTTTATTAGGAACGAGATAGATCCATTTCCCGATACACTTCTAAATCAAAACTTCACACTCATTTCATCTTTCAGTGCTCTGACCGTATTGCCATTGCTCTAAGTTTATTAATAGCTCTGAGGAATTTTAGTAAACTTTACATAGATTCATGCTGTCTTGTCATCGATAAAATTAACCTTTAGATCAAGAAATTCTGAATTCTATTTTCTATTAATAATCTGGTATCTTTTGTACGCTTAAAGAGAAAAAATGTATTTCGTCTTCTAAATAAAATCTGTAACATTTATATTTCAAAGTCTTTACAGCATTTTTAACATCTTGGTTCTTTTGAAAACGCCATTTTTTCCTGTTTACCAGCATATTATTCTTTATTATCATTATTATTATTTCGGGGTGATATTGCCCCCCCCCGGCCACAGGTTGAGCAAAACAGACCAACCGAGTTCCATAATATTTTTCCTGCGTTATTTTTACTATATGCGGCCTTATATTATCATGAAGATAAATAACATTTTTCATATTGACGAGCTGCTGTATGTAAAAATGTGCATTTAATGTTTCACATCATTTTAATAACTCTAAAGAAATATGCCGACAAGCTCACCAGACGCACACCATTACCTCTCTTCCATGAAGCTTAGCTTTTGGTAGCGGTTGTGGATATTTATCTTTGTCAATTTATTGTTTTTTTTGGGGGGGGGGTTATTGCTGAACATTGTCGCATGTTAGTGGACTCCAAATTTATTCTTAACTGCCACGTATGATTAGTAATAAGGATGGCATATTTTTTCATTAAATTCGATTCCCAAAAACGAAAATTACTTATGACTCAACCATGACAATCCTGCATCTAATAAATATTCCAGATAATGTCCATATATATTTTAGGATTTCGATAACGGACTATTCCGTGTTCATCGTGCCCAACTTGTCTTTTTAATGGGAAAGGTTGTGAGAATAAACAAAATGAAAACGGACAATAACAACGAATCGTGGGTAGTTCCTACCTCCTGCTCACGTGTATCCTGAATAATGAAAAATAAAAGAACGGGAAAAAAAACTGTGGAACGTTGCCTACCGTCAAGTCCGGTTATATTTTGCCAAGAAAGTCTGGGAAAAAATGCAAGCGGACAGACAACTTGAGGTGAGTATATCTGAATAGTATTGTGGCAAAGTTTCGAAAATAGCAGCAGAAAAATTGCAGTGGGAGTAAAGAGAGAATTCCCAGGCGTCATGGCATGTAATGTATAAAAAGTCAAGACCATTTTCCTTCGTTCATCATTTCGGCGAGGACTTGCTTTCATCCTCGTTACTCAGGAGATCTCGCCTATTTGGGGCCTAAAATTTTTACCATGAAAAAGTAAGTAATTTATTTGCCTCTTTTTATTTTTATTTTTTTTATTTTCAAAGACTGGTGAAATGAAAATGACTCAGAGGAAACGGGGACAATATGTCTAATAGAAGAGTTCTCTAAACTACGGCACCCACGGGCCATACCAGCTCCTCACAAGATGATGTTTCTTTCTATGTACTATATTTCTCTTCTGTTCTTAATAATACCAAGCTGATTACAAAATTATCTGCCATGACTTTTTTCTTTAATATAAATTTGATATAATTATCAAGGTCATCGTGCCAGACAATCTTTCTCATCAGAAATCTACCTTGGATGTTTATTCGTCCGTACATTGAATATTGCTGTTACATCTGACCTAGTGCTCCTGGTATATATCTAGAGATTCTAGAAAAGAAAAACTAAAAAAGAATCTACAATGTCATCGGTCCAGACCTGGCATCTCGGCTTTAATTATTTTCCCACATCCGTAACATAGCTTCTCTCTGTCTTTTCTATAAATATTTTCATGGCAATTGTTCTTTGGTGCCTCGATTTCATGAATTTAAGCGTAGAATTAGATTGGCATCTAGGTCTTATCATTTTACTTTTTGAATTGCTAGATGCAAACCGTAAGTTCTATTCTAATAGTTTCTTCACTCGCACTTTTCGCCTGTGGAACTTTCTTCCGACTTGTATTACTGTCAAGAACGACTTTTAAAATTTTAAATACGACGTCAAACGTTAGCCTCTTATTTTTATCCGGTTCTTTTATTGTCCTTTCTCCTCGATAAGGTTTTCTCAGTTTCTTACACTCTCAGTAACAACTTGTCTCTTAGTGACTTTATCGCCTTGCTTGTGTAAAATGACTTTTTAAAATTCTAATGAAGTTTATTCATTTATGTAAATTGTTATTTATCTATCAAACTGTTTTATTCTTTGATCCGTAAAAGTGTGTAAATAGACGTTGTAGTTCTTTGGCTGAATATATTTGGACACCAATCGATGATATAATAAAAGGATGATGATTTTTCAATAAGCGAAGATAATTTCTCGCATGTGTTCCTTAGAATGCGATGTACTTGTAAAATTTACTTTACCCGAAATTATACTTTTAAAAGTGTCTAATATCACTCTCCTGGGAATATGATGCTTTGGGGTAGAATGGAATTGGAAAATGACGAAAACAGAACAAATAACTGAAGCATGACAAATATGTTTGAAAGGAGATTTTTCTCTTTAGAAACTTTGGTGGAATGTCATGAATTTCGTTCAGGATAAGCGTTTACAATAATTTACGAGAAGCAACCACATTTTTAATAAAAGATATTATGTCAAATTTAGTCACAACTAAAAGAATGGATATTTAAAGACCAAATTTGCTCGACTACTGTTTACCGAGCAGGTAGTACCGATAGTCGAATGTCTACTTTTTTTTATTTTACCAGAACAACTGAATCATCGTCAACTTGTAAGACTCCATTAATTTTTATATATAAATTAATTATGTAATTATATAATATAATAAATTAATAATATATAATAATAGTATATAATATATATGTTATAGTATATAATTATAATATATAATAGTATATCATATATAATAATAGTATAATAATGTATATAATAGAATATAAGACATTATGTTAATTTTTATATATTTATATCTTGATGTGACAAGAGATGACATAGAAAAAGCGACACAGTAAAAAGTGAGACATATGTGTGTGTGTGCACATGTGTGTGAATTATCGTTAGTTACACACACACACACACACATGCACACACACACACATAATATTCAAATAGTGATTATAGATACAAACTGTTTTCATTACAAGTGGTCAGTGTCAAATATAGAGACACTACAAAGTTTGTTATTGACTGATATTTTCAAAAATGCCTTTAATATGTGTAAAATACATTAACGTGCACTATGCTAAATCTCTCTCTCTCTCTATATATATATATATATATATATATATATATATATATATAGATAGATAGATAGATAGATAGGTTGTGTCAAAAATAGCTTTACAAACTTTGGGGTCTGGTTCCGTACACCAAAGCAAAGACAAATGCCCATATAAACATGTCTGCAAATCCTTTGTTTTTGAGTTACCGCCCACTGGTAAAGCCTCTGAGGCGCAGTACAACAGCCAAGCTGGCGACTCATTCCTTTTAGATCCTACTCAGAGACCTAATGTCATAAATGCCATTATGACATTTTCACTTAACAATTTTGTAAAAAAATACAAATAAAATAACCTAAGGTCACGCACATTTTACATTGATATAGCCCTTCATAGTGAGATGTACTTGTGAGAACAACTTTTTTGTATTTCTTTAAGGGATATGCTACGAGTGATCCCTTCAATGAGTCTATCAGAAAGTTTTCCAATCAAACCGTGGATTTCAACCACAACTGGAATTATTGATGCCTTCATCTGTCACATTTTTGAGATTTCCACTTCAAGATCCTTGTATTTTGGAAGTATTTGGAAGATACTCAAAGATACATTACAGTCTACAGGAACGGATATGTCAATAAAAAAAAACATTCAATTTTCGTGATTTTTCATCATTATGTCTAGACGATTGGCCTTGCAGGTTCTGCCTGTGTGTATCGTAAAGTTCCATAAAATTGTTACAGATCTTATATCTGTAAACGGGTCTGGGTGGTGTTCATACCAATACCGTGCAATTTCCTTCCCGTAAAAGTTGCATATTTTCCAGTGCAAATATCGGCCTACACTGTCATGCCGCATTTATATTCGGTGGATATAATACTGTGCAACCTGATACAAGATGGTCACTTGTTCCTGGATATTCATCACAGAATTTGCATTTCGGGTTGACACAATATTTCAGCATGTTTGCTTGGTAATTTCTAGTTAGCAAGCATCGGTCCTGCAGCAAAAATAAAACATTAGATTTCAGTTTTTAATTCTGTACTAAGTAACCACCTATCAGTGGCTATGGGTTCTGTCTGCTTGTTTGGCACGAAGAAATTATTGGCCATGAAGAGGTTTATCTTACTATCGTTTCTGCGCTTGGTCCATTATATTTGCTTCTACCTTCAATTTTTTTTGCCGCTGCAGTAGGTGCATTATGGTTTACTTGCTCTTCTTCATCCAATTGAAATTCATTTTTTAATTTGTTGGCTTCTTTTATTACTGAATAAAGTTTCTTATTTATTTTATGTTCTTTGACACAGATCGGTCATCCCCTAGATGGGTGATCGCTTGGGAATGTAGTGATGTAAGATGATGTAAGCCTGGATTTGTGGGTGGTGTAATGGAAATCGGAGAACCAAGTTAAAATTCCAGTTGGGTTCATTATATTCACTTGCGCACAAATGCCCTTGGGAAAGGTATGAATCCATTTCTCCCTCAGCTATGGGTAAGACTTGTATCACTAAACCATTATTATCAAAGGAATCTTACAATCTAAAAATATTTTCTGGCTTTAAATAATTTGCAAATGGCTGATAAACCATAGAAAACGAATCAATCAATCGATTTATGCACATTATACAGTCTTCTGTAGTTTTCAGGTATCTTCGAAAACTGAATGTTATATTTTTGTATGATAGTTCTAGTTGAACTAATCCTCTGCCTCCTTCAGATCTGGACACATGCAGACAATCAACATCGTTCTTAGGATGATGGATGCGGTGGCAAGTGAAAAAGCTTTCTCGTCTTGACATCGATTCACTTAATGTCAGCAATGGTCCAGTTAAGGATGTTGAAACTGTATTACACAATAAAGACATCCAAAGTGTATATGGCTAATATTCTGTTTTATGAATTCAACTCGGTATTTAAGGCCAAACGCACGCGCCTGTAATAGTCTTTTCTTACTTTCTTTTTATTTGGTTATGCCGTATTCCATCTCCTTCGCTGACTCCTAGATATTGATAGGCTTCTTCTTGTTCCAGATCCCTAATATTTGCGACAGAATCGAGATTTATTGAGTGCGTTTGGGTAATTTTCCCTTTCTTGAATTTTATTTTTGCACATTTATCTTATCATTGCTGTTCTAGGGAATGATTATTATTATTATTATTATTATTATAAACCATATTCAATTAAAAAACTTTCAACTGAAACTTTCTACAGACTCTACTGTTTTCTATTTATCTCTCTCTATATATATATATGTATATATATATATGCCTAATTATCTATCTCCATATATATATATATATATATATATATATATATATATATATATATATATATGATTGTATCTGCAGCAATCCCTCTGTTATATAAGTTTCATTAAAGGTAACTGATAAGGTACTGCTGTTAAGTTTTTTACTTAAGTGTGTAAAATTGATAATGGTTAAAAGAATAGCCGAAAATGCTATCAAATATAGAACAATCGGGCAATTTAATGAAACTTATCTATCTATCTATATATATATATATATATATATATATATATATATATATATTGTCATCCACAGACAGAGTGTTTAGCATCTCATCAGTGTGGCCAGACATCCAATTGCCTCAAGGTGGGATCGAAACCCGACTGATTTGTTATCAGTCGGAGAATCTACCCTAAGCCATTGGTGCATGGCAGGGATGAAGGTGAATTTAAATGTATTTATTTTTAGATAAACACGCCAGAGACTGAGAGAACTCGTTTAGTTTTATCAAAGAATCTTTCATTAGCAGCATTAATAGTCACTGTTTACAAACTCATTTTTTCACTACATATATATATATATATATATATATATATATATATAGAGAGAGAGAGAGAGAGAGAGAGAGAGAGGAGAGATGAGGTCGGAACTAAAGTTCGTAGCTTTTTAAGTGAATTTCAAAAACAATATTTAGATATTTGGACATAGATTTATTCAACTACATATGTGGCATTTGGTTCCGTCAACTTTCACCATCGTTAATTTAATTCATGCAGAACTTAATTTACTGAATTTTCTGGCCTAAATTA